CTACTGGCCCTTTTATAGGGAAGTCATCCAGAAAAACTTCAACCTTATCAGGGATGAAGTCCTTGAGGACGGCTACCATAGCTCTCTGAAAGACAGCTACCCCATTTGTCCACCCCATAGGGACAACCATCATTTGTATTAGTCCCAAAGGCGTGTGCATGGCCGTGAGGTGTCTGTCTCTAGGATCAAGCGGTACCTCATCATATCCCGAGAACAGATCGCAGACCGAATAGATCGACCTACCTGCAGCGCCTTCTGCTAACAAATCGGCGTGTGGCACCGAGCCTACATCTCGTATGGTCACCGCGTTGACCTTCTGAAGGTCCTGGATCCATCGGATCTTGCCATTCGGCTTCCGTAAGAAAAACCATCTATTAGCATACGCGCTATCAGATGGTTCCGCGACATGGGAAACCATCTTTTCTTTCAGGAAAGCAATAACTTCTTCCTTCTCCTTCTGAGCATACTTCCATCCCGCGTCATTCCAGGGAACATGTGGTACGGTGTAAATCCTTGCTGGCTTCGCGTATCGAGGGTCAACCCTACCACGCTCCGCGTCACTAAAAGCTATAGCCTTATCACATGTTTTCAGGATTTCTATCACCCGTTCTCGCTCTTGTGGGGTTAAATTTCCATCTCCGATGTCCATTCCTGTTATCCTATCATCCGTTAGGCGTTGTGGCTCCTTTCTCTTCCTTTCTTTGATTTCTTTCGCGATCTCTTCTTCCGATATCCCTTCTAGTGGAGATCGCTTGCGGCCCACCGCCGCTGGCTTAACCTTCTGAGCTACCCGCTTGTGTCGCTTAGGCGGCCCCCCGTAGGGGGTCGTGCCCTTAAAAAAGACACGGATACTACACCGCCTAATTCCTCATCTTCTCCCTTCGGGTATGAGTTTCCTCCTACTATTAACTGACTCCCTAAATCTTCTATTTCGACAACTCGGCCTTCTTCCTCTGTAAGCAGTGGTCCATACTCCTTTTCTCGAAATCGCACCGCAGGGCTGGAGATAGGTAACGACCAAACCTGATCACTGGGTCTCGCTCCCACAGCGAGAGCTGCTCTGTTCCTCGGGTTCCGAGGCTCCACTGTCTCAATCATTACGCGCGTCCCGTCTGGCTTCTTAATGGACAATGTCTGGCTCCCGTCAGATCGCTCTATCGTCACCGCATGCACGTGGCTTAGCCACGTCCGTCCCAAGAGCAGGTCAGAGCTGCAGTTCTTGACTGCAAAGACAGGCAGGGTCACTCGTACCCCTTGGACCTCTATGGCTGCCTTGTGACAAACCCCGGTGATCTGTTGCTTTCTACCATCAGCCGTCTCTATCTCGAATAGATACGACCTGTCGAGGCCCAGTCCAACCTGTACTGCCAGGTCCTCGTCTATGATAACTGCCCCACTGCCGTTATCGATCACAGCATCAAGTACCGCTCCATCGTTTATAATTGTCTCCACTGCCCTACTACCAAGTATATAAAATTTGTCTGGAGGCACACCTTCCATTCCATCGAGAAGGACTGTTGCCATGCGATCAGCTCTGGCAGTCACCCCCATTACTGCTACTGTAGAAGCTTCCGCCTTAGGGTCTCCCTGATCGTCCTCTGATAGAGGTATGCGAGTCTTCCGCGTGATCATCTGTAATTCATCACGAGCCGGCTTCGATGCTGCCAGGTACTCCAGAATAGAGCACTGCATAGGTTGCCGAAGGGCCCGCCTCAGTGGCTCGAC